GATCTGGTTATTTCAGTGAATGAAAACTTTTTGCTTCTTCTCAGACGAATATATGAATCAAAAGGCAGATCTCTTTGGCTTGCGTAACTTGAAACCAAGCTCTGTGAACGTTTTCATTCAATTACAGTGGGACTCAATATCTGGGGGAATCAGTATCCACTGATTCACTTATCCACGGTCTGAAAATATCAAAAGAAAAATCCTAGAAATATAGATTTCTAAAGGTGGCATGACCAGAACTGGCCAGTAGATGGAGCAAGAGACCATGCTCTGTATAGCACTCAGTATTAAAAGAGCATTCTATATCACCTCTGCTTTTCAGCATCTCTAGTAGGCAGGTGGGTTGAATATTTGGAAAAGCGGGATAGTATGTCATGGGATATAAAATTTCATGCTTTGGACTTCAATTCCCAGAACTCTCTAACTAAATGGAAACAGATTTGCTTGGTATTGATGAGGGGAGGGGGAAATCAATGCTTGGGAGAGGATTGGAGGATGCTGGGGGTTGTAGTTCAAAAAGAAAACAACTTTTCCAAGCTGTTAAGAGATGCTCTTAAGAGATGCTCTTAACATAACCTCTGCCAAGCCAGCCTGCTACACTGACAACGTCACCATTCTGTATCTCAGGAGGAGAGGTTGTAACCAACATCCATCTCCATGAGAAGTGATTTCTGTAGACATTTACAATTAAGCTCTCTAGCATCCTTCCAAAAATGTGCAGCCTACTGATAATGGTACTCGAGAAATCACAGCTTGAGAATATTTAATTTCCATTAAGGGCTGTTTCAGCAGCCCAGCCCACTGGAGCGCATGCTCCCTACCGAGAACAGTTTGGGAGGATCTGCCGCTGTTGAGCTGGGTTCGCGGTGCGTCGCCAGAAAATTAAAACACAGCAAGGAATTAAGATGAGGAGGAGCTGCCTTCCTTCTAGGCTCCGTTTTCTCACCACCAAACGAGATATTTTCTTTCTCATCTAGAAACCGTGATTGCTAACACACTTACTTCGTTCTCAAAGTCAGGATTTTGGCCTGTTTTTGATTACCGTATTTGTTGAGCTGGGTTCGCGGTGCGTCGCCAGAAAATTAAAACACAGCAAGGAATTAAGATGAGGAGGAGCTGCCTTCCTTCTAGGCTCCGTTTTCTCACCACCAAACGAGATATTTTCTTTCTCATCTAGAAACCGTGATTGCTAACACACTTACTTCGTTCTCAAAGTCAGGATTTTGGTCTGTTTTTGATTACCGTATTTTTCCCCATGTATAAGACTACACTTTTGTCTAAGATCTTTAGACTAAAAATTGAGGGTCGTCTTATACATGGAACTAAGCTGAGGAGAAAAAAATAAGTGGAGGGGAAAGCAGGGATCGAAGCGATCCTGCGGCGCTTTGATCCCTTTCCCCCTACACTTGCTAAGCCCCAATTAGATTTCTTAATTTTGGGTTAGAAAAGTGGTGTGGGGCGTCTTATACAAGGGGGCGTCTTATACAGGGAAAATATGGTACATCTCCTCGGTGCCAGCCCTGAGAGTCCCAGGGTATTTATGCTTTGCTACCATAGCCATGCTGGTGCTGAATGTGGGGAGTTGTAGGGCACCAGAGAGATGCAGGAAGGGGGTTTCCATCAGCCTGCTGTACGGCCCCTTCTGGGAAAGGGTGATCTATACTGAAAGTACATCAGAATCTGGATTAGAGATGGGCACAAGCCACTGGTTTGGTGATTCATCCAGGTTTGCTGAGCGCTGTAAAACATGTTCAGTGTCCTGCCCCCTCTGCAGGCGCTGCCTTTGAGTGGGTGCCTGCAGAGGGGGTGTGGTGGCTCCAAACCACCAAACATCCATTCTGGTGGTAAACGAACCAGGACGAAACACAGAAATAGCTTGTGCCCATCTCTAACCTGGATTTTCTTACCTACGTGGACATGCAGATAATCAGGAGCGAGCTCATTGAGCAGATGACGGGTGATCAGGTGGCATAAAGCCCTCCGTTTGGTTTGCTACAGGGAAGGCATTGGTTCAGTTCTTTTTCAGGCAACCACGCAACACAATTACTGGTGTGAACCAAACCATCCCAAAAGGATTCCCCTTCCATACTCTTGTGAGCCCCTGTCAGGGGCTTCTAGATTTTTTGGTCTGAGTCAGTGTGGTCTAGTTTGACCATTTCCTCATGTGTGAGACCCAGGAATGGCCCCAAAGCAAGCCTTCCGGCTGTCAAGACTCCTTCAATTTTGAATTTCCAATATGGTGAAGAGGTTTAATAAGTGAGCCACATCAGGGTATTGGCAGACTGAACACTTTCTCTGAACCTTAGCAGAAAGGCAGGGGAAGTGAAACATGTCATCAGTGATAAAGTGCATCAGTGATGTATACCATCACTGATGTACTTTATCACTTATATAAAATTTTTTAAAAATCTTTGCTTTGTCTTGGAAGAAAAGTTGAGAAACTGTGTGCAGTTTCTTAACCAGCCTTTCAGATAAGGCGAAGAAAATGTATTCCTTTATTTTTATAAAAGTGATGCAGTGAATAAGAGTCATATTTTTTTTTACTTCTCCTACCCCGCTGCTTAGGAGCAGAGGAAGTGATCAATCTGCCAATATCCTGATGTGTCTTTCTTATTAAGCCACGTCACGATATCAGAAAATCAGAACAGACCACATAGAGTCTTGTGAATTCCAATATGCCATTTGGATGTGTGGCTCACACGAACTGGCACATCACACCTCCACCGGATGTCGCCTGCACCAGCTTGCTCTGAAATGACTCATGTAGACAAGCCCTGAGATTTCCACCCAAACTTTATGGCCATAGCTGCATATCTTACCAACTGCCCAAGATTTATCCTCCCCAGGACCGACACGGCACGGATCCTTGTAGCGTGTGAATAAGGAATGCTGCTGCTCTAACTTGTCATCTGGAGGGAGAGGAGAAAACACCAGTAAGAGGCAGAAAAATCATGTGTCCAGAAAGGACTGTAGCAAGAGAGGGCTGGCCAAATGCGAACCTACAGGTGGAATTGGACTAGGGGAAATTTCTCCGTGTGAATATCTGTGCCTATTGGATTTGGACAGTGCCCGTGAGTGAAAATTGAAGTCCAGGTTATTTTTATGGGTACGAAATGACTTAAAATGCGTAAATTGGGTATCCGAGATGGAAAGAACCTCAGATTTTTTTTTAAAAAAAAAACAAATGCAAGAAAAATGAAACGAAACCATGGCCCTTTCTTGAGCTTTTTCTCCCAGCATTTATCACTTGGGGTGTGCTGCATAGCACTCACTGGTGCTGCAGTCCGACAACATATGGAGGGCTGCATGTTCCACATCTCTGAGATAAGGAACCGAACCAGCTTTCAGAATTTAAATATTAAAAACCCTAAACCCTAGGCCAAAACCTTTATCCTGACATCCCATTCTGAACCTGAATAACCAAGAACGAGCCTTGTAACAACCCTCCCTCCCTCTTCTCTGGTTTTTTTCCTTCTTATTTGAGGAAGCAGCTCTTATCTTCTATTTACATCTCCTTTAGTCCAGGGATGCAGCCATAAAGCTAGCGCACAGTTAGATAAGTGTGGGTGTCATTTTAAGCAATTCCCCAAATCCATTTAGTGGGGCTGGTTTACGATTCAGCATTCCTTCGGTTCTCCTCGTGTGTCAGTTCGGTTGCCCGTCTTGGCCAGTTAGGGCTGTCCTTTTAAGGAAGCTAACGCTGGCGCTCACGAATAGAGAATGCTCGAACGTATTGTTGCAAGACGTCTGTATATATGGGACCTTTTGACTGTTCCAGTTCTAGCATTTTAAAAAAATAAAGTGTGGCCTCTTTCTCTGTTCACCTCTACCTTTGGGGGCAAACAAAGAGCAAATGTTCCGCATCTTTCCGAGAGAAAAATCAAACTCTGCCCGGCTGCCTGCACGCTGACAGCCCTCTTAATAATTGTCCTCCGTGCAACCAGATAAAACTTCAAGAGTCCTATTCCTGCTGCTCCCAGGGGAATCCCCCCCCAAGTGGCTGCCACAGGTGCTAATTGTGTCATTTGTCACTGTCTATTGTCAAGGCAACACAATGCGTAAATGTATGGCTTTAAAAAAAAGAGAGATGGAAAAAGGAGGGAAACAAGAATCCCGGCTGCTTGAAAGCTAAAAATAAAAACGTGGTTTGAAGGTGACGTCGATGAGGTCACCTCATTTCCCTTCCTAGCAAGCATAGCGAAGGTACAAGTATCCAGTGAATGCTGGATTGTAACACCCATTATCCCCTATCACTGGCTACCTTATCCTGAGGGCTGCAGTGGCCCAGGAACATATGGGGAGGAATATGTCCCTCACCCTGTCTATTGAGGGCAATACCATCCTTTGCCTTTAGATTTCCATGGCCATAGGGAGAAAACCTTGAGTTTTTGGCTACTATCCTATAAAGTGGGGAATCTGTGGCCCTGCAGATGTTGGAAATTGCAATCTAGGGTCATTACCAGTCATCTCAAAGTCTTCCACATTTATATTATGGGAATTGTGGGCATGTTCAATGTTGTCCAGTTCATAAGTGACACTAGAGATGGGCACGATCGTGCCAGTTCGCTTCCAAGCCCCGCCTCTTCTGGCACGTGTCCACACAGAGGCATCGGGCTGGTTTCCCCGCCCTGCCTCCTCTGTGTGATGCCTCTCAGTGGGCAGCTGCTGGAGGAGGAAAGGCCGAGAAGCACCAAACACCAGTTTAGCCAATAAACAAACTGGCATGAACCGCCAAACCAGTATAGTTCACGCCCATCTCTATTGACATCTGTGGCCCTGAGGGCATGAACACAGCGAAGCAGGAGAAGGAAACATCCTAGGCAGGAAAAAACGGAGGAGAGGGAAGTTCTGCACCTCACCTGATGAGCAGTTGTCAAAGTTGAGGTCTCCACAAAGCACATCAAATGCCACCAACTCCTCTGGATTGGCTGTGCTGGAGGAGGAGGTAGATTTTCTGAAATCAGCCAGCCAATCCTGAAGCATGTCAAGCTGTTCACATCGAACAGTAGTGTCCCCTGCAACACACAAAGATGCACACAAGGAAAGGATGTTGAAGTGGTTCGTGGTGAGTTGCAAAAGTTGAGGTCTCCACAAAGCACATCAAATGCCACCAACTCCTCTGGATTGGCTGTGCTGGAGGAGGAGGTAGATTTTCTGAAATCAGCCAGCCAATCCTGAAGCATGTCAAGCTGTTCACATCGAACAGTAGTGTCCCCTGCAACACACAAAGATGCACACAAGGAAAGGATGTTGAAGTGGTTTGTGGTGAGTTGTGTTCATTGCCGATCCTTGCCGAGCTAGGCGACCATGAAATGCAAATTGGAATGAACACACTAGAATTTATTTAAAAGTAACGGCAAGGGCAGAGAGAAACAATATGATTACGTTAGCCAAAGGGCAAACATAATAACTTCATATATTTTTTTCAGTACTACTTAATCAGAGGGTCAGATTTATTGTCAAGAGATCAGCAGAAAATGCCCTCTAAAGGTCAGCTGTAGCACACAGGGCAGTGTTTTTTTTCCTGTGCTTCCTATTTTGGCACAGAAACTTCTCTTGGCAGTTGCAGGCAGAAAACTGAATTCATCTGAAAGATCACCACCATCAAGCAACCCTACGGACTGAGTCCAGCCCGTATCAAGGAGGCCCAGTGGGAGAATCGAATTCCCAAATGCAGAAGTGGGCCAACCAAATTGACAGACGTGTCCACCCAGGCAGAGAACTTTCCCAAAAAAGTTAAATTTCCAGATATTTAACCCTCTTACTCCTGAACTAGGATTATCATGCGGAGGGAATAAGGTATATCTTTCACGCGTGAATATTGATGTTTCCGAGAAAGCGGCAATTTTTAAAAAATTGATTATCCAGAGAAGAAGGATGATACCTGAATCTCGTTAACCGGGTCCTATTCAATCTTTTTTGTCCTGCATTTGTTAATGTATCCCCTATTGTAAACTTTGACTGGCTGGATTTTATTGGTCTATTCGTTCATGCACCATTGTGTTTTGTTTTATTTTGTTATGCCAATAAAGGTATGAGGAGGAGGATTATCAAAACTTCCCCCCCCCGATAGGTCCCTTCTTTTTAAGAGCTTTGTGGCAAGCAGGTTCAACAATTTTTGTGTCTGTTTGGAGCAATTTCACCCCCCCCCCGATAGGTCCCTTCTTTTTAATTGCTTTGTGGCAAGCAGGCTCAACAATTTTTGTGTCTGGTTGGAGCAATTTCGGTTTGGCTTGTTTCCGAAGTTTTACGAATTTACAAAAATTCACAGATGGAATGGAAAACACTTCAGATGTTTAAAAAACAAAGAAACAACCTACAACAACCAAAATGTGGGGGAACTGACAGATTCCTGCATTCCTAGATAAATCTCCATGCCCCTCCTTCCCTGACAAAATGAAAAACAAAGCAAAACTAAAACAACAAAAAAAACACGCCACCCATAATGCAACAAGTGGCAACTCTTGCACTCACATGTGTTTGGATTTAGGCCCTCGCCTTCTGTGTTCTTGAAAACTTGCACACAGAACAGCAGTGACCATATTTTCTCTTTTTTTGCTATGTGTCTACCTGGTGTTCTTTGTATAACGGAACAGATCCAGACTTCAGTCGTGCTTAATCGCATGGCAAGAAGAGGACTTGGATGATTTTTCTGGATTGGGTCTGACTTGACTCAAATCTTGCCATGCTGGCCGGGGGATTCTGGGCACTGTAGTCCCAAAGGGCATCTTTTTCAAGTTCTCTGTCTTCTTCCAGGATTCAGATTGAAACCAAGTCCAACAAAGAGGAATGGTGCCGAAATTCGGCAAGGAGTCTGAGCAAGAGAATGGAAGCATCTTCCGCGATATTAGAAAGATGATGATGATTACTATTATTATTAATATTGCTCTAGATGCAGACTAAGCACTGACACAAAACAATGACGCCTTTGATAGAGGAAGGGAGAGGAAGCCAGAAATTCGTCATACACATTTCTTTCTTTCTTTTTTTTTTGGTCTCGTTCAGTCCAAAAAGGAGCTCTTCAAGGTTTCCACGGTCAGCCAGGTCTGCCTTAGTGAGAAGCCGCCCCTCATGCATCACAGTTTGATTTATGGCACAGCCTCCCAACCCAGGCTGTGGATGCCCTTGTCCGACGTCTTAAGCACATCCATTATTCCTGCTGCCCGGTGGGCTATTTTCAACAACACGTCTGTGCACAGCATGAGCTGTTTGTTTCCATTTTGGCAATGGCGAATACGGTGGGATTGGCTAAAGTACTAGATGGGGATGGGAAGGGACCCCGGTTCAAATCCTCACTGGAGCCCCGAATTCAGTGGCTGACCTTGGGCCGGTCTGGCCTTAGCTGACCACATTGTTGTGGAGATCAAGGAGAGAAAGAAGAGAGCCTTGGGCACCGTCTAGGAACGGGGAGCTTACATAATCAAGCGCCTGGCACGCTAAACCACCAAGAATCTGGCTTATTCCACGAGGGAGCCCAGGACCCGCGCTTTGGCCCCGCCATTGCTGAAGGCCAGCGATCATGACGGCTGTCCACTGACTTCGTGGCAGAGCTTAGAAGCTGCCTTTGGGTAATGATGAATCTAAGGAGGTGCTGGAGAGTGACATTAAAGCTTAGAGGCAGGCTGCACAAATCTCCCCTCTGCGTCAGCTGATGACATCCGGGCGACAAGTTCCAGGGGGAAAAAAGCGACTCCTGTTGCTGCCGATGATGACGCACGGGCCCACTGCAGTTTAAAAATGGTGCCCAGTTCGTACTTTTCCAAACCGTATCAGAGCTTGTGTCTGGCATGTACAGGTCAAGGTTTCAGGGACCCCAGCGATGCTCAGCAATCCTTGTGGGAGATTCCCTGGCAGAACTGAGGGTGGGGGTGGACCAGCCCCGAAGGAGAAGACAAAAAGCAGGAGGCCTGGCCCAGGAAGGGCCGTGGGAAAGGTGAAAGAAACAGAGGCAACATCCACTCAGGAGATGCTTTCCCTATCTTGCCAGTCCGTCTTTGGACGTGCCAAGGGGAGAAAGGGCTGCTGGGTTTTTAAAAGAAAGAATAAGGCCACAGAAAGTGGCAACAGCCACAAGAGACCTTGCAAGAACCACACTGATTAAACGGAGATGCGCTCAAACAGGATCTGTCTTGCAAGAGAGCTCCTGCACACGGGTTGCTCGGTTCTAAAAACGGAGCCAGACCGAACGGTCAGCAAGAGCCAATTCGTCTTTTTCAAAACATTTCCAAACATGCTTTCTCTGGAAAAAAACAGATCACTGATCTGTACTTTTTAATGTGGCTGAAACATTCCCCACCACCACCCGCGCGCGCACCGCCTGCCTATCCCTCTCCTTTGTTATGTTTCGTTTTGTTTAAACACGAGAAGTGTTAGGTAAGATGGCCAACGACACTCCACTGTTATGAACCGCAGGTTCTTCCATTTTGTTCCATAAACGAAGGGAGATTTATGGAAGGACATCTAAGCTCTTAAACGTAAGCTCTCCTGTTTGAACAGCGAGCATGACAGATAAGGCTGGAAACACGGCGCAAACATATGAAAGACAAACAGGAACTCTGAAGCATTAACAGAGACACACTGGTGGGGCCAAGAAAGATTGTTCTGCTTCTTCTAACTCTGTGTTTCGCTCTCATCCTTACGACTGGGTCAGATCCGACAGTAAATCCATCAAAGTCTTAAAAAGAATTTTAAAAATGGCAAAGGAATGGGAAGAAATATTGAAGTAAAGGTCAAAAGTAAGCTAATTTGCGTGTGGATGGCAAACATAGCAGCTGGTTGGATAGGTCTCTGATTGCAAGACTGGGAGTTTGATTCCCCACTGCTGTTCTTCCTGGGAGGAGAACAGCCAGCCTGGGTGGCCTTGGGCCAGCTGCACATTCCCGGGGTGCCCCCTAGAGGAAGGAAAGGGTAATGCACCCCTGAGTACTTTCTATCCAGATAACTCTGAAAAGGGTCTCCATAAGTCAGAGTCGACTTGACAGCACACATATACAGACAGCGGGCACAGTAACACAGGCGGTAAAGCCGTCATCTGCCCCTGTGATTGACAAACTAGAGATGAGAAAGAATTGCCTTGAACACAAACGAACTACAGCACCCATCATACTTAGCCTTGCTGGCAGGGCTTCTGTGGGAGCGACAGCCGCAAAGTGACTTTTTCTATCTCTGGAATATATCCAGGGAAACAAAGTGAGGATCGACTGTTGTTAAGATACAGATGTTTTCATAACCACAAAGATACTGGGCTGCCAAAACATTGTGGAAGGTTAAGTTGCATCCACCCTACCCAAACCCTAAAGGTCAATAAATCCAAGGCACAGATTGTGCAGAACACTTGCAGAGACTAACAGGTGTCTACACAAATCCAGAAATAATTCCATGTAGATTTAGAGATGATTTATCAGGTGTGTACACTAAGAACGGGTTCAGGACTGGATGTGCTTTTAAAAAAGAATAAATCCAGATTCAGTACAAAGTGGTTTGTTTTATGATGGTTCATTCCAAAACACTTTCCCCTGTTACTACTTTTTTCCATCTCTTCACAAATCAGAGTCTTTGACATCATCCCCAGCACCATTCTATGGCAGATGATGAAAAGTAGAAAACTTCTTGGAAAGATATTAAACTTTTGCTGTCAGTTTATGCTGGGAATGGAAAGATTAAGAATTAGAATTTATCTGATTGCTAAAGAGGGACTCATTCTGTAAGGTTATAATGGTTTTCCCCCCCCTTTTGGACTTTAAAAGAAAGCCTGTAAAAATTTATAACCTAGTCCTGAAAGCTTCACCAGATGACACAATATTTATCTTGAGATAAGATTTAAATAATATTTAGATTATCAACTTTTTACACAGACAGGGTGAGAGAAGGCAGCTTTATTTATTGAAGCATGGGCGGTCAAGGAACAATGGCGCCTGGAATATTTTTTCCCCCCTGGGAAGTCTCATGTGATTATGGCGTGAATCCACCTGATGCACTTCATGCACGCACATGGAACTTGACTGCCCACAGCTGCCTCATTCTGGCATTTTGCGAGGAACTAGGGAATGGGAAAGGTCCAATACACACCTACATGAGGAGGGGTCAGTGCAAGTCCGGTAAATGGCATTTGACAAAGAGATACGGGTCTGTGGCCCCATTGCAAAATGCAACTGGATTTGCAATTTGTGCAAATTGGCCTTTTTTGGATCAGTGAAAACCCCAATGAACTACTGTTTTTTTAAAAAATTCCTGTTGAAGACAGAAAGCCAATGGTGTCTTAGAAGGTCCATGGTGTGGTCGGTGGACAGGAGCACAAGCTTGTTAGCATATAGCAAAATGAACTGCACGTATGTCTACATATCCTGCCAAGCTGCCCCCTCCAAGCTGGGCATGGTCCTTGGGGCCAGAGGTCCCATGGATGCCTGGCGCCTCCTCCCAGGACTAGGGGTTGGCCCTTGACCTCAGCAAGCAAAGGTCTTCAATAGCCTAGACTACCTATATAGAAACAGGGAGGGAGGAATGGAAGACAGCAACCACCCATCCTCTCCAAAAGACGTAGGACAGCTACTACCGCCTGAGTGGCGTCAAGTCTATCTCCAACTAGGCTTTGATCATCTTGATTAGATGACCTGCGAGAAGGGAGAGAGAGTATGTGGCAATGAGGGTATAGTTGGGCGCCAGAGTGGATCCAAAAAAGTTTGCATTTAGTGCTTCCCCTGCTTTTGAAAGCAATAAGGTTTACTGCTCTAAGATTCAGTCTGTGTTCTGTTTTGTGGCACACACACACACACATACACACATCCTGGCCACTTAGAATGCCAGGCTTGTAAGCTCCGTATGTGTGACGGGGCTAAAATGAAGACACTCAAAGCAAAAATCAAGAACGAAAGGACTACAAGCTTAGTCCAACAGGGGAAAAAAATTCCTTGGCTGATGATGAAGTGCTTGGAAGTCATCTGGCCCTTAATTTTACACTCTTCTTCCTTAGCCAAAATTTTGCCCGGCCACTCCAGAGGCACCAGTTGGATCTTGAAACTGGAGTTCTAGTTCAAATATATATATATATATCTTTGCACCCTGAAATCTATTAGGCACCTGCTCTGGAGAATATATTTTTAAAGCTCATTACAGCCCTGCCTTCAACCTTTTTTGATTGAGAAATCTTTTATTCTGAGCTCATGAAGAGGATCATGACCTGGTGCTCAGTCTCCTTGCTCTCTCCAGCAGAGAGTGGAATTTCGAATACCAAAATAACCGAAAAGAAGACCAAGAACGTTATTCCATATACAGTACCTGCGAGGGCTTGCAAGTGAGTGCAGGAAATATATCCCACTATTCTTTGGTCCTGAGGTGTACTTCCCACTTGCACCTAGAAAGGGAAGAAGGAGAGGAAAATAAGAACACAAACATGAATGGACCATTCCGTTTTCTTCTAGGATCAAAGCCCCGTTACCTAGTGTAGAACATAAGAAAGGTTCCGGGTTTTTCCTGCTTCTCACATAAGCACATCCATTCTCACAGTATAATAGGTACTCTAATTAACAGTGAATTTTTTAAAAAAGGTCCCCAAAGATTTTCTAGTGGTTTTGCAACTCAGGCAGTCTAAAATATTGCAGAATATGGATTTTTTAAATATAGTATTAAATCGTAAAGAGATATGAAGTTCATGACTAAGCAGTGCGTCTATGGCTCAGGGTTGTATCCAGGATCATACGCTTCTACTTTCAGCTGAGTTCAGATAGTTTATGAGCATGAATGCAGTGGGTTCTTTTTAACCCAACTGAGAAAAGCGTATTCATTCATTTCGGTGTTGCTTTGGGCTTCCCAAACACCAGGGTGTAAGGATGTCAATGCAAAGAGAAACCACACCATTAGGTCTGCAGAATAATGGCAGGGATCTGAAGTGGCCAACGCCCAGGTGATTCCATACAGCTCCGACCACTGCCCGCCACTGCCAATCAGAAAGGGATCACCCACTATATGTCTTCCAGATTTTGGTGGCTGCAATTTCACCTACGCCTCAACTAGCAGGTCCAACGAACATGGGAGCTATCGTCCAGCACATCTGGAGGGTCCGATTCTGGTGGACGCCAGTAACTCTTTGGCTCCAGTTCATTTGGACAACAACTCCCAGAATCCCCGACCTTTAGCCATGTCGTCAGGGGCTTCCATGAGTCAGAGACACATCTATCAGCAAACAGCAGCGGTGTAGGAGACGTGCAGTTTTCATGAGGGGAGCAGGAATAATCCTTTTCTTCTCTGCTATACTCATTGCTCTTACAACCGCTCTGAGACCCACCAAGAGAAGCATCCACTGACATCAACGGGGGGGGGGGGCTTCTGGCCCCAGGCAAATGGAAGCCATGGAGGTGAAGATGGTTTTCATCAGGGTTCTAGCAAGAAGGAAAACTGTTATCTCTCTTCTCTGTAGGGGAGAGATAACGAGGCACAACGGGGGTCAACCTGAACCTCTGATAACCCCCTCTTGGGGTTTCTCCAGCTGTTTTCTATCTGCTACACCCCTTCTTTTGCGTTTCCTAAATTAGCTGGTTGCCCTCAGGCATCGTAGACAACCATCTCCCATCCTCTAAGCTGAAGTGAGATTAAATTGACAGTCCAGACAGCTTCTGGTCCTGGAATGGGAACCTCGTTCTTTGCTTCAGGCAGCACAATGTCATGGGCCACACACTGTAGGGTTCAAATTAGATGCTACTATTCGCATGGCACGAGAGCTAAAGCTCCCTTAAGCATTAACAGTTGCCTGAACATCCTAACACAAGCTCGTTTTCCTCCGCATGGCACGAGAGCTAAAGCTCCCTTAAGCTTTAGTTGCCTGAACATCCTAATACAAGCTCGTTTTCCTCCATGTGTTGGAAATTGCTGTTATTTTGTGATGGGTTATTGAGAAGCTTCATTTGCAGATCTGGCTGCTCAGGCATGGGTCTTTGAAAGAACTGCATATCCTCAAAAGGAAAACATCATCCAGGAAAATCCCCGGATCTCTACGGACTGGGTTCCAAGTCCCCCCACTGCACATGAATGCTGAAAAATGTGGATTATAGTGAATGCTCTACATAGCATAGTCTCTCGCTCGCTCTAGTGGCCAGGTCTGGTAACTTCATATTTAGGAATATAAGTGTTGAGGATTTTTCTTTTAATATTTGTAATATTTTCAGACTGTGGATAAGCGAATCAGCGGATACTGATTCCGCAGATGTTGGGGGAGCTCTACTGTAGCCAGAAATGTGTATTTCTCTGGCCCTAGCTCAGCCCAAGCCTTGTCTTTCATATACATTTTCCATAGCCATTGTACGATGCTCGGAAAGCTTCTGCAATATGATTATTTTAGATGGATGTCCTCCAGCCATCCTCTTGGTGGACAACAGCATGCTGGCATGGACAGCAAGACAAATGGCATGTTCTCCCCAAAGCTTTTGGAATGTACTTTGAGTTTTTTCCCCTCCTTTGCCAAGTGCCCACCGCACGCTTGGCTTCAAGCAGGCATTGAAACAAGATTTCCAGAAATCCTATTTTTATGAGCTTGGCAAACTTGCCCTCTTGCGTGTAGAGGTTTCTTGTACTTTACCAAGCAGCTGCGGTGGTTACACTACTTTAACATATGAGTTAAGCATGTTGAAAGAAAATTAAATGGAAGCATATAATGCTAATGGGAGTAGATATAATTTCTTGTTGTTCTCCTTTGCACATCTCTGTGCCACATGGTTGGAGAGCCTGTTCTGCAGAGGCAGTGGGTCCCAGCCTGGGGTCCCCAGATGTTCTTGGACTAAAACTCCCAGAAGCCACAGACTCATTCTGATCTCTGATCTCTGCATGAGCTTCAGAGGATGAATGCCATTGTCTTCGCTGGTATATATAAAAAAGAAACACATTCAACAAAATGGAGAGAGGTAAGTCTTGACAGGTGGCAGCTAGAGAGCAGCTCAGCCTTGCCAAATACTAGAAGCCATTGCATGTCATGGCATTGCATGTAAGGTTTCAAACACCATGTATAGCCGGATGACCAGGCACAGGAGAAAACAGGACTCTTGCACCTCTAATAGCAAGCTTCGCTTATGGATTTTTAAAAAACTAAAAACTCTACACACCTATGAAAGACGCCAGTCCCCCCTGGCCACTCTGCAGAAGAGTTGTCCGCATTTTGACACAGTCCTCTGGTATGTTGACTATTAGCTGGTGAAAATTTTACTCCATGCCATGAAGGGCTTCATTTGTGCAGATCATATCTCTATTAAAGATACGAGCAGGGTAGGTTCACCCACCTCTGGCCATTTGGCAACTCAGTAGCCCTTGAAATAACCAGTTGTCAAAATGCAGATGTTCAGTGCAAATTTGGCCTGCAGCAGAATTTTGCAGTATGCAGGGCTCCTTTTCGGAGTTTCAATTGTCCTTTTATTTATTCATTATATTCATAGCAGCTTTACAACAACGAGCACAAGGCAGTTGGCTCCCTTCCTCTGTATTTAGCCCCACTGTAATCCAACACCAGTTAGCATGGGTCAGTGATGACTTGAAACTGGGTTGGCCAAGTTCTAATCCAACATTCCTAACCGCTATAGTACACTGGCTATCTTCTCAGCTCCCCACACCCTCGTATAATGTCCTTCCTCCCCTCCCTCTAATAATCAAGGTCACACAAGATGACATGCCAGCTTGACAGTTAGAAGTTGATCCCATGTTTCCCCTCTAGAGATGTAATTCCTTCCAACCTCCATGCCTAAGCAGTAGGATTTGTAAATGAAGATTGTGTTTTACATACTACTAGCAAACTAACTTGCAACATGTGGAAATGAGAAAAATAGTCCTCGGATAAGCATTTTTTTAACCTTTTAAAGGAGCTACACTTTCAATAATGTGCTAATTTTATCATTTAGTTGGACTCTTAGATCTGCAGTCACTGGACATGTTTCCCTTTTCATTTTTCTTCTCTTTTTTCTTGGCCCTCCTTCCCATTCCTCCTCAAAGCATGCGTTTATTTGTGCAGCCCCCCTCAAAAAACCCAACGACTTTGGGTTTCCCCACTTGTCCGCAGATAGCACCATTTTGAACACCAAAGGATCAGAATTTCAAAAAAGGTTTCCCTGTTCGTATTATCCAGGATTCAGCACAAATTCCTGCAGACCGAGGATATTCAGCCAAAACCTTTGCTACGAAAATCTTACAAATAGAGGAAATCTATTTCAGCCGGGGACGGTCTTAGCTGCAGCACAAGCAGAAATTAAGAAGGGGAAAAAGCAAACAGAGTCTGCCGTATTTCTGTGCCAGGAAAAGCTTCACACCCGAGTATTTCTGTCTCAGGCTTCTGTTAAAGACGGGGAAACCAATTCATATGACGGCAAGTGACACGCAACACAACGGTGAACTGTAAATGTTGTGCCCCCTTGGCCCCAAGACATGGACTTAATCCTCCCCCAGGAAAATGAGGATATAATAGGATGCCGTACGAAAGAAAGAAAATGTTTCTCATTTGTTTTAAAAGCATGTGGATAGAGCTGAGATTGGGTGCCGTTTATTTTCCTAACCACCAGCAAGCAGTACGTTCATCACTAGATTCCAGGACGCTCTAAATTTCGGTGCCCTGGGGCAAAATCCCGGTTGCCCAGCCCTCGGTACAAATCCCTCTTCATGCACACATAGACCCGTACACACAGATCCCAGTTCTGAATTTCATGCATATTCTGAGAAACAGGAAAAGCTTGGGATACTCTTATTTAAGTTTGTGTATGCGCGCACACACACACACACACACACACACATACACACACACACACACACACACACACACACAGAGTGTGTTTCTGTTTACTGACATAATGCAAGGGCTGCTTCCTCCTTCTTGCTGTGCCCAGCCTGGATGCGGCCTCCCACAGCTGTGTCCCCCCTGGATATGTTTGACTGTGACTCCCGTCATGGCCCATCAACCAAGTCCATTGGTTGGGAGCAGCTGTCAAAGGCTCCAGAGCCCCAAATGCATGGCCTCTTGCCAAGTTTTGCATTAGCAGAGGCTCTCTCTCTCTCTCTCTCTCTCTCTCTCTCTCTGTGTGTGTGTGTGTGTGTGTGTGCAAAATGTTTAGATTACCACCCAGGAATGAGATGGAAGGCCTGCATTTAAAAGCTGACATGGATTTTGCCTGGCTGGATTCGCAGACGGAAACCAGGCGGAGGCGGCTGCAGAATCTCGGATTTTGTTAAACCCAGACGGGTTTGGCCACCTCGGTTTGTGGATAGGTCGTACAATGGCTAGGATTCCTTGCACACCCTCCTTGAACAGCTGAGCCCCCTGGAATAACACCAGCCACCTTCCAGTCCGTTATCTCATCTACAAATAACTATTTTTTTCCACATTGGAAA